ACACCGCGACCATAGACTCCTATAGAACACAGACTGTGACCAACACAGAGGACGAAATAATGACCCGACCTGAGAGAAAAATACTCTTCTCTTCGACACAGTAGAAGCCAGGCTTTTTGATTTAGTCTTTACGCACCGAGCGTCAGAGTGGCCCGAGTCTGCGCACGGCACGATGCCTACTGCCCGAACATAAATATTCCCTACATTTTTGTGTAGTAGGGAGCTCTGGCAAATGAGAGCCGCTGTCTGACAGTATAAAGAACAGAATAATGCCCGTGCCCGTCCCGACCCAAGCCCACGCACTCACAGGTTAGCAGTTTGGATGTTTCGCGTGGACTTTAATTGTCAGAATAACACCTGTATCTGATGTGTTACATGCTAAATCTGTGTCCTCATATCCTTATATCCCTCCAGGGGAGGGCATCTGAATCTCTTGCATACGCTCACCATTCATAAACGCGTGCTACATATCTATGTATATGTTTATATATAGAGGGCCAGTCCACACACACATCATAGGCAGACTTAAAAATATAACGCTAAAACTCTTGAAACAGCAAGAAAACACATGGGCTTTACTGCAAAGATGTGCTGCCTAAATATTATGAAATATTGTTAAATGAACAGATGAGTCATTGTTGTCATTTTTAGTTTTGTATTTATATATTAAACCTTGTTTAAGTGGTTGATGTGAGCGCGTGGTGCTGTGTGGAGCGTCCCCCTCCCTCTGTCCCACTGATTATCCGCTCATGTTTAGGGAAATCTCATTCATGGGTCACTTTGCATTCTCCTTTTATGGTGAGGTGGAGGTGTGGAGAGGGCGTGATGTGACGTGGGTTTGCATGCGCAATTTCTAGTTGCACGTGGGATCTACACCTGCAACTAGCAAAAATTGCTTGGCTCAGTGCGTGCGGTGAGTTTTCTAAATATGGAGTTCGTGTGGCGCACGCCTCTTGTAGCTACACTGCGTACGCACTAGCACACGACAACTCCTGCGCAGTTTTTTATTAATTAGGCCCCTGGTTTAGTAAAGGTTTAGTCTTGATTTACTGTTTTAGTCCTGGTTTAGTCCTAGTTTCGTCCTGGGGACGTCAGTGTTTTTGTGTACATTCAAAAGGATAAGCAATGTCAGAACACTATGTGTTTATATATGGATTTTATTCCGAAAATGTTGGACTGATAAAACACCGAAACAAGACTTTTTATTAATCATGTCACTAACATGGTAGAATTTGATTTCTGGTAGAAATCACATTCATTTAGATATACAGATTGAAAGAAATTTTTCCACAATCAAAATTTCTATCACACACACACTTCACAAACTTTGCACCAAAAGAGCCCAAACTTCTCCATAGAGGCTCGATGCTGCTGGTGCTTGGTTGCCACAACAACGGAATTACACTTTGTCACGTCTTTACCACAGTTTCATTTATGTTTTTTACTTTTTATTTCTAGAAAAAAACAATAGCTGGAGAACAGTGTTATTTGTATTTGTTTTCAATCACAATCGCTTCAAGGCACAAATGAAAAACAGAGCAGTTTACAGACATGAGCGTTCACACAGGACTAGATTTACCTGAGGAGCTCTGAGTTTGAGTAGATTCACCTGACCATGGAAGCAGTCAGAGCAGCAGTGGCACTTCTTCTGGTGCAAACACTTTTCATATGTTTGCATTTGCAGATACAACTGATGTATCATATCCATGACCAGACATGAATGAGAGCTTGGAGGGCAGCAAGTTTGCAACTTCTTTAACATATTTGTGGAGAGGTGAGGCTCAGTAATACACATTTTTCAAGGTATTTTTGAGTAATACTTACAACTGTAAATGAAATAAATGCTATAGGTTTATATCTAATCCAGGTGCCACCCGGAGGTTTTGGCGTAGGTATGATTTATGTGGGTTGATTATGTGAAAAACTTTTTTGAAAACAATGCTGTGTACAGAGTTATTTTAGAAAATGGTGGGAAGGAAATTTTTACGCATGTGCAATTCGCACATGACTAAAAACACAGATGACTTTGTAATTATTACAGTTTACCAGAGGGTAAACCTAATCCTGTGTGAATAGGGTTTAACAATGTAAAAGAAGTAAAAGTACATATACAGTATTTGAGACTTGTGTGTATGCGTTGTCAGGGAGAATAGAGATCCGGCAATGCCCTATACCTCTGGCAAAGCCTGTGCAGCCTGCCCCAGAGCCTGTGACAATGGCCTCTGCAGTGAGTCAGACCAGAGCCACAAATATTAGGCCTTCTCCAAAACCTACTCATTGTACAGAGATTACATAAACCTTTACTGTGAATCATATTAATGTGTTAATTGTTTTTTATTCTGAGAGTGAACCTTTCATTTCACTGACCATTCACAGTAGTGGCACATGTGGCTGCCAGTCTACATCTATAATCCCTTGAAAAGCACCAGTCTTACTCACACACACTCCTCACACTCAGCTGTGGCCACACCTCCTCATCAGTGCCTGAATTGGTATTAGGTATTTAACAGTAACAGTAGTGAGCTACTCTGCCACTGTAGCTCCATCTGAGACTTTTAAGGGCATAAAAGAAGACAATAACAAACCATCCTCCTATGTACACAAGTACTTCCAGAGGGGGTGATTACATCATTTCTGATTTCTGCATAATTGTTTTAATGTACACATCACATATTTAAATCACCATGTTTCCTTTGTTGTTTTTAAAAATTCTATATTCACTCAAAACAATGTATTAAAATTGAATTGACTGAACAAGATTAGGCTCCTCTCCCTCTGCGCTCCATGCTAAGTCTCTCCCCCTTCAGAGCACCATCAAAACACAATTAACGTGCATTTTGCTAATGACACTGATAGAAATTTAGATTGTGGAATGATTTCTCTCAAACTGTCTTGTGTAAATTAATGTGATTTCTACCTGAAACCCAGACCAGTCATTAACATGTGTAAAGGTTCATCAGGCACAACTGTCTCCACCTTCAGGAAGCCCTTTGTTATCATCAACTGTATGTTAATTTAGTACCAGCCTCTGAAACCAAAGTCACTCTGCATTGATATGTATGTAACTTGTATTTCTGTATAAATACTGAGAGCTCAAATGCTCTGGAGGGGACATGGGAGAGGCTGTTGGGCTTTGGCCAGGGCAGGCCTAGGCCCGGTCCATATCTGCTGTAACAAGAATAAACCTTGGTCTATATTCCAAAAACTCATCGGGCTTCGCAAATGGATTCATTATTTATCTTCAAGAGATATACATTTTTTTTCCACAACAACACCACTGTACATTGCATCAGATTTGCAAGTTGAATCCATTGAAATAAAAGTAAATGCTCTTAATTTAAGTCATTTTAAAAGGGCCTGTATCGTACTATTTTCTGACATTTCATCACAAACATCCCTGGAATGTTTTGTTTCATTCACACACGGGGGCGTAGCATTTGCTGGTGCAACACACTGGGGCCCACAGCACTTTGGGGGCTCGATTGTGGCCCACTTTTTTTGGTCCTCACTGAAAACACTTAGTTCCATCTTGTGTCATGTGGCAATACAGGAAGTGTGATGTGAGCAGACTAATAAACCAAATGTGTGAATGAAACAAAACAACAGGTATGTTTTTGAGGAGGTAGCAGCATTCTAACATGGTTTAAAAGGTTATTAGAGTCATGGACCTTTAACTTAACCTAAATATGCCTTTTTGCAGAGTAAGGAGGGTTTGTACATGAGGCAGCTCTCATCTTCCTATCCTCCTGACTGTAACTCTCCTCTGTGTGTTTGCAGACAACCTCTGTCTATATTCTGACCGGTTCAGCAACTGCCCTGACCTGAAGGAGGCGTATGGCTGCACTGACCCGCTTGTGGCAACAGTGTGCCTTGCCACCTGCAAATGCACCATCCAGATCACCATCTGAGCACAGACTGGCTCATGTATCAGTCCCATCAGACTCATCATTAAAGCAAAAATGTGCATCGCAAGCTCTGTTTCCGTGGCTTTCTTGGCTAGAATCATTTGGATAATTTCAACCCTAGAAATTCCAATCTCTATCCAAGGTTTCTCTAAATGAAAAGGTAGCTTTTTAACTTCATGACATCACAAGGTGGATCAGAGCATTTGGAGCATTAGAGAGATGTAACTTATAATCAAAGGTTACTTAAATATACTGTATGTGAACGAAATAAAACAACTCCAGGTATGTTTTTGAGGAGGTGTTATGGCATTATAAAATGCTTTAAAAGCTCACAAGTCAGTTTTGGGTAATACAGGAACTTTTAAAACAGTATTGGGCACTCTCCTTCATTTATCCAAGAGTAGAGTGTAGAAAAAGGTTTCAGAATAGTTATTTGGGTTTGGTTTGAAAGAGAGGTGAAGAAAGTTACTTTTGTCAAGAAAGACAATCCTTCCCGGAACAGAAATGGTGGGTTAATATTTCGTTTTGATTTAACTTCAAATTATAAATCAAATGTTACGTTTCGACAGTTACTCTTGAAGTTACTCTCACTTGAGTAGTAGTTTTCCAAATACATTTTACTTGTACTCGAGTCATTTGTTCAGTGTTGGTCACGTTACTAGTAATTAGTTTTTCAAAGTAACTGCATAATTAACTAAGTAATTACTAAAAGTAATTACTAGTTACTTCTCCCAAAAGTAAGTAACCGAGTTAGTAACTGAGTTACTCCACTATAAAAGTAACTATTGCTTTACTTTTTTCATAGAGTGCTAGGGTTACTCACACTAGGACTTTAGAACCGTGCTGTGCATGATTGTGTAGGTTCTTTGGATCGCACTCACACCTGCACAACCTTTTACTTAATATTATTTTGGCGTGACTTCACTCCTAGTTGAGTCAAATGTTTGGCTGCTCTACTCATCTGACTGTTCTTCAAATGTAATGACCATAGAGCATTTGCTGTATCTGCAGATCCTGTGTGAAAGGGTCACTTAGCACTCCAGGCTTGGATTATTGTAGAACATTGTTACAGAAATCACTGGTCAGACCCAAATATGCAGAAACCAAAAGTATTTATTAACAAAAATAGTCTCAGAAAGGGGATAGGTTCCAGGGGAGGCAGGACGGGTCCAGGTTGGCTGTAAGTGCGAGGTATGTGGGGATGAGGCTGACCAGGGGCTTGTGGAACAGGTGGCAATGGGATGAGGCTGGCTCCAAAAGGAAGAACTGAGGAACGGACAAAAGAAACAGGTAAGAATAAAAATCTTCAGAATGCTCAAAAACACACAAAAAGCCTGAGTAGTTCACCACTGGGTTGACGGAACGATCTGGCACTGGAGAGCAGGTCAGCTGGTTTCTTATTGCAGGAGATGATTACTTGATGGGAACCAGGAGTGGAGCTCAGCAGGTGAGAAGAATTGGGGACCCGCCCAGGAAATTCCAAATAAGGTGAGAGAAGGGAAGAGGGAGCAGGGAAAGGAGGGGTAGGAGGGGCAGAAAGAACCCTTCACAAACATTTCTTCTGAGCACCTGACTATAAATATCCAAAACACCAGTACGAAAATCACCAACATCAAATAACATCTCAAGTATTAGAAGCACAGGTCCCACCGCTCCACAAGCTGTTATCAAGACTGCTCCGTCCTCTTTGAAGTAAAACTCCTGCGTCTGGACAATGCTCTTCCTGAGGGCATCTCCACGGGGGATGAGGGTTAGCACAGGGCTGAGGTGGATCTACAGGAGCTGTAGATGGTCCCTGTTTAAACTGCACTAAAGCCTCCTCCAGGTGGAATAACATAAGGAGGTCGCAGAACAGGACCCTGTCTCTAAAGATCAGGCAAAGTATTTCAGCTTAAAGCAGGACACTGCAGCTGAGTGGGAGAACACTTGACCAGATTTACTTTGTTGGCATTTTAGAAACAAACCTTTTTTACTGAGGGAGTTGGTATAAGGGCCCGCTTCCCCTGCTCTCTCCTTATCTGTTCACTCTATTGTAAGAGTAGCTTTACTTCAAATTAATGTTAATAAGTAGAAGTAGAAATTATTGGTCCAAGAAATGACTAGAGTAAAAGTTCAAAATATAAATAAATACTACTCAAATAAGAGTAACTTAAGGACTTCAGGAAAGTGAATGTAACTTGAACACATTAAATAAAACACAAAAATGAAACTATATGAAGGAACTCTACAAGAAACAAATGTTGAAATAATTTCATATTGACAATATAAAGCATTTGTCACTTTAGACTTACTCACAGTGGATAGAGGAAGCACAACTTTGCCAGCATGTATGAATAAACTAGATTTTGCATAAAATGTAAGAACAAAAATAAAAAATATAAAATAAATGTATTAAATAAAAAATCTATGAAAATACTGTTTACGATGTTAAAGGTGTTGTACCTGTTTTTTTTTCTCTACTTCTTAAGATCAGTTGGAACAGTTGACAATGGTCCAAAGTTTTCCCTCACTTACCTTAGAATTCTAATTATTCATTGTGAGGGGTTTATGAGTTTCAAATAAAACATATATATATATATAGAGAGAGAGAGAGAGAGAGAGAGAGATACACCACCAGTTCGCCGCAAAAGAAAGTCCGTTTTTGAGGTCGCTGAAAGAAGAAGAGATGGGGAAAAGCAGCAAAGCCAAACTGAGGTGATTCTTGGAGATTCCTTCCAGCGATGGCGAACTGAAGCAGACGAAGGGTCTGAAACCTGACGCGTTTGTCGCAAAAATATTTCTAGACAGGTCACTTCAACAATAATTCTGAACGCGCACAGCTGTAAACAAGTGTGCTTTCTAGAGTAAGGAGGTGGGAGGAGGTGTTTCTACTGAGGGAGCTGTGGAGGAGGAAGGTGGTGTCACACATGCACAACATTTGACAAAGGACTGTCGCTGTATTTCACTTCCCTTAAAAAATCCTCTATACAACCTTTAAAGAATGGTGATTAGGCCTGCAATTTATTTATTTAATTTATCCACATGTGTTGCTTTTAATTGAAAAATTGTTAAGAAAAAAGACAGGGAGGCAAGGAGATACAATCCTAAACATAAACGCTCCCCTCGTCTACAGCAACGCATCGCTGAAGATCGTGGATTTGGTGGTGCTCCTCAATCCATGCAGCGATGTCCTAAACTCCTCATTGTAGGAACCTCAATGATGCGGCATGTATGGCTGCGTAACAGCTGCTCCTTCTGTTTCCCGGGAGCGCGTGTAAATGACATAAACGTCAAAGCGACGGAGCTCATTAAATCAAACAGCGCTGTGTCGACAGTTGTCATTGATGCTGGTATTAATGACTTAGCTCAAGAACAATCTGAAATCCTCAAACTGGACTTTGAGAGATTAATTGACAACATATCTAACAGTGACAAGCACTGCGTAATCTCGGGCCCTTTACCCCCACCCAGTTTTTTTTTTTTAAGTTTAGCCGTCTCTGGCAACTGCACACCTGGTTAAAGGGATTTTGTAGAGACAGGTGTATACCTTTTGTGGACAACTTCACTACATTTTGGCACCGTCCAAAATTATTCAGAGCTGATGGTCTACACCCAGATAGAGTGGGATCACGTATCCTATCTACAAACATCAGCTTAACTCTACAGTCACTCAATAGTACTGCGGCATGACGTCATAAACACCCAAATAGTCTCAGGGCTCCTAGCTCTATAAATGATTTTTCTGCTGCTCCTCTTTGTATAAAGCTCAATGAACATCCCTGTCCACCAAAAATCACAACAATAGAGAAGAGTTCTCTCAATAGAGCCATAATGAAACAAAAAGAACATAATCTCTTTCAAACAGTAAATCATGCAAGAGTTATTTGGAACCCAACTACCAAACCCAAAGGGATAATGGGAGGTCACATTAATATTAGAAGTTTAATGCCAAAAATGTATCAGATTAGGTCCCTTCTCATGGACTCAAATTTAGATTAACCAGCTTTCAGAAATGCATAGGTAAACGAAAATTTACCCACCAATTTAATCAACATACCAGGATTCACATGCTATAGAAAAGACAGAACTATAGGCCGAGGGGGTGGGGTACGAATTTACATACGAGAGAGCACTACACATGCTCTAAACTTGATTTGAATGTGGACCTGGAATGCCTTGGACTCACTGTTACCCTCTCACCCAATATGAAATTCAACATAATTGTACTCTACAATCCCCCATCACATGATGCCAATTTTTATTATGAACTGAAGAGCCTTTTGTCTGTTGTTGATCAGTATAATGAATGTATAATATATGGTGATTTTAATATTAATTGGATGAGCAATGGTGCAAAATCAAAGTTAAAAATAATTATGACAAAATATCAATACAAGCAACTTATACAAATGCCCACTTGAACTACTAGAAATAGTAAAACAGTCACTGATCTTATATTTACAAACAGACCTGAAAGGATAATAAAAACATACAATTTAATCTCTGGCCTTTCTGATCACAATTTGATCTTGGCAGTTAGGAAACTGTCCAAAAAACGCTTTATCCACCATTACAATGCGGGCCAACCAAAAATAACCAAAGCAATTCCAAAATCAAAACTGGATCATTTTGAATTAGAACTTAAAAATTTCAAATGGGGTGTGGTTACTAAAGAATCTGACTTAGACCTATGTGTAAACTCTTTCACATCAACCCTAGGTGAATTGATCAATTACCATACCAGGACTTGGAAACCTAGACCCAGAAAATGTGGTCTTCCTTGGATCAACACCAATGTCCTCCAAATGATGAAAAAGCGAGACCTAACATTGAAACGCTCACTGCTCACCAAAACCAATACTGATCATCAACTGTACATCAGCCTCAGGAACAAAGTAGTACATGAAATACGAAAAGCAAGAAGTGATCATTTTACTGGGAAAATAATAGATGCTAAAGGGAACAGTTTTAAACTATGGCAGCAATTACATACACTAACTAATCCCTGCAAAACTAAAGATACCAAAATAAAATGTCTGAAAGATGGGGATAACATAATCTACAGTGATGAGCAGATTGCAAATTCACTGAATAATTATTTTATTGAATCTGTGGAAGCTTTAGATGAGAACTTTGATCAAATACACTTAGTTGATGACCACACTGTACCCCACACAAATGACATGTTCAAAATTCAACAAGTATCTCAACACAAAGTAAGTGAAATACTCACCAATATGAAAAGCACTTCTTCCAAAGACATTCTCAACTTAAATAATACATTGTATTAAAAAAATATCATAATTAAATAAAATTAATTAATAAAACTGCAGTTATTGTTCCTGTTTTTAAAAGTGGTGACAAGGATGAGGCTTGTAACTACAGACCAATAGCTATCCTCCCTGTGCTTTCCAAAATTATAGAAAAATGTTGTTGCTGATCAACTAATTGTGCACCTTGAAAGTAAATTACTTCTGTACTCAAAACTATTTGGTTTTAGGCCTAAATACTCAATTTGCAAACTGTCATCTAATAGATAACATTAAAAAGTCTTTGGACCAAGGTAATGTAGTTGGGGCAGTGTTTCTTGACCTAAAAAAGGCCTTTGAAACGGTCAATCATAGTATTTTACTGGGTAAGTTACATCAGTTCAATTTTGCAAAGGAAACTGTTAAATGGTTCTCATCATATATTAAAGGGAGAACCCAGTGTGTTCGGGTAAATGAAGTCACTTCTCAACAACGAGCCAATCCCTTTGGGATTGGGTGCCACAGGGGTCTGTACTTGGCCCCTTGCTTTTTTCCATATATATTAATGACCTCCCTCAATGCTGTCCTACTGTTAATGTTCAAATATATGCTGATGACACTGTATTGTATGTATCTTCAAAAACACCAGCTCAGGCTGGTGCACACCTGAGTCATGCCTTACAACTTGTCTCAAAATGGCTTAGTGTGTCACACCTGACTTTGAATGTGATAAAAACTGTTTCCATTTGTTTTTCAGTGTGTACACAAACAAAAAACTGTGACTTTGAAGTGACTATGCACAATGAGAAAATTCAAGCAGTCAGTGAAGTTAAATACCTTGGCCTCATTCTAGATGAAAATTTAAAATTTACCGGTCACACAAAATACTTGAAGAAGATTAAGACTAGTCTCAGTTGCTTTCGTTTCATACGATCTATCGCTCCACACTTCTAAACTATTCATGAACGCAATGATCTTCTCTCATCTATCTTATTGTATCACCTCATGGTCCCAGGCCTCCTCAACCACATTGAAACCGCTTTGTTCATTATACAAACTGACCCTTAAGATCCTTGACAAAAAGCCCCAAAACTGGCACCACTGTGAAATTACAAAGAAACATCAACTCTTTAACTTTGAAAATTTTATCAATTTTAATCATCTTAAATTATTTTTTGAAGTGTCTTAACCGCAATACACCATTACACTCAGAATTTGCCAGGACCATAAAATGTTCACACAGAGCGAACACAAGAGGCGCTACTAGTGGTAATTGTGTTGTTCCTAGGTACAGGACGGCTCTTGGTCAGTCCTCGTTCTCTTTTAAAGGGGCTAGTCTGTGGAACGGTTTAACAGCTCATTTAAAATTGGAAACCAACTACAACAAATTTAAAAGGAAATTTAAATTATTGTATGTTTCCAATCAAAACTGCATCCACTGAAAATGTACTGTATATATTTTATCTGTATGTAATTTATGTGTCTTGTATTCTCTGTTTTTATGCATGTAGTTTATATTTTCATATGGACAGGTGTTGAAAACTAGCACTTGTGCTAAAACACTTAAAGCAATGCATCTGGCTTGTCTAATGCGATTGTGATGTCCTTAATAAACATA